GTCACTCTCTCTCAGCCCTAGGAAGGAGGCCATGGCAAACCACTTCTGAAAAACCTTGCCAGGAAAACTGCAGGGACTAGTCCAGGCAGTTGCCAGGAATCCATACTGACTAGAAGGCACACACGCACTAGACTAGCTTTTATCTGAAAATTATTATGGATAATTTTCAGTTTAGTTTGCACCCAGCACACTCTAAGTCAGTCCTTCTATCCACACAGAACAAGCACACACACCACTCAGTTCAGCTAGGACAAGATATAGCTTGATGTTCATTAACAGCAGCAAACATCAAAACAATTAACTCAGCAAAAACAGGATAAAATGCAGGTAGAAACAGAGAGAGAGAGAGAGAGAGAGAGAGAGAGAGAGACATGAACAACAGGCAAGAATTAACATGATCTACCTATCTCTAGAACTAAATCACAAGGCAGAGAACGATCCAAACCCACTGGAAACAATATTCTGGATATTTATTTATTTTATATAGCCACCCCTCTCATTTATGTGACTCTAGATGCCTTACAATTAAAAAAAAAAATTAGCATGAAGGGCTCCAGTGATAACCCTTTTATGTGTAAGGTTTACCCCGTTTGTCTCAGAGAAACTCTCGTGACATGTGTGTTCAGCAAAGAAGTTTACTCAAGCGTAACGTAAGTAAGTACAGACAAAGCCAGGATTGGCTTGGCACACTTTGCATCGTAATTTATAGCTCCCCTGTTCCCGCGCTTGCCCTGTTGCTTAGTTACAGATTACCCACAGTAATCCCCCCCCCCATTCTAATGGCAGATTCAGTCCGGTTCTTTTGTGGTCTTGTTCGCCGTCTATGGGTTGTGCTGTTGTTGCCTTTGTTGGGTTTTCCTATTGCGCGCAAAGCCGGGAGTTCTCAATCATGCGCTGATTGCTTCCCTTTGTTTGTAGTGCTCGAGGCAAGCTGGCATTGATACAAAATATCCACTTGTGGTTTTAGTCAAGCGGCACCACCTGGCTCTAATCAGTTTGCGGTTTCTCACTTTCCCTTTTTCTCGGCTCGCGCCTGAGCAGTGAAATTGACTAAGCGTGGCTGAGCCGGTCTCTAGCCGTGCCGCACCGGCTGAATCTGACATACCACCCCCCTGAAGACAATTTCCCCTCCTTTACCTTGGCTTCCCGGGGTGCTCCCTGTAAAAGTCCTGGACCAGTTTGGGTGCCCTAACGTGGGTCTTGTTCACCCATTCACTGTACGATTTTGAAAAATGCTTCCATTGCACCAACAATTGGATTTGGCCCTTGTGTTTTCTAGCGTCCAGTATTTGCTTCACTTCAAAGTGCTGCTCCCCGTCGACCATGATCGGGGCCAGGACTGGCTCTTCCCTATGCCAATCATTGGCCGGTTGGTGTGGCTTCAACAAGCTGCAATGGAAGACTGGATGGATCTTCCCTAGTGCCTTGGGGAGCGTCAACCTGACAGTCACTGGGTTAATTATCTTCGCAATGGGAAACAGCCCCATGAACCATGGGCTGAGTTTCTTTGAGGCTTGGTGGGTCTTTAGATTTTTCGTGGAGAGGTACACCTGGTCCCCTACCTTCCATCGCCACTAGGGGAGCCGCTTGCTATCGGTGTATTTCTTGTAGTCTGCTCTGGCTCCCTGCAGCACCGTTCGTACTGCCTGCCTTGTGGTGTCTATCTGGGAGAACCAAGCGTCCAACGAGTCTATCCGGGATGCCGGTTGGGGTAGCTCCGGCATGGGGACAAAGTCTTGTCCGGTAGCCACCTTAAACGGGGTGAAGCCGGTGCTTTTATGGACTGCGTTGTTATATGCTACCTCCGCAAACGGTAGCAGCTCCGCCCAGTCGTCTTGCTGGTATCCCACATAACACCTCAAGTACTGCTCCACTCCCCTGTTAAGGCATTCCATGGCTCCATCCGTCTGCGGATGCGCTGCTGAAGAGAGGGCTTGCTGAGTTCTCACCCGTTTTAGGAACTCTCGCCAAAAGCGTCCAATGAAGTTCCTGCCCCGATCACTGACGACTCGTCGGGGTGCGCCGTGCAAACGGTAGATGTGCTGCACAAAAAGCCATGCCAGCCTCTCTGCATGGGGACTTTCCGACAAGCCACGAAATGCGCTTGTTTGGAAAACAAGTCTGTCACGACCCAAATAGCTGTTTTCCCTTTGCTCTCGGGTAACTCCACAATAAAATCCATGGCGATTTCCTGCCACGGACCGGCTGGCGTCGCAACCGGCTGGAGTAGACCCCGGGGCTTGCCTCTACTTCCCTTTACCGTTGCATAGGTTGGGCAGCCTCCCGTGTATTCCTCCACGTCTTTTCAGAGCGTCGGCCACCAAAACTGCCACCAGATCAGATGGAGAGTTTTTACAAACCCGTAATGCCCCGCATTCTTATTATTGTGGGCTCTTTCCATCACCTCCCTCCGGCACCCTTCAGGCATATACAGTTTGTCCTCGTGCCACCACAAGCCCTCCTGGCCCGTCAATGAGTCTTGGTTCACCAGGAGCCAAGTGTCTCGCTCCCCGGCTTCTAGGAAAGCCCGTTTGAGTCCCAGTTCTGTGTCCCTTACCCTCTTCTTTGTTTGGCTCCAGGTGACTGCTTCTGCGGCCAGTCGGTTCGCGGGGACGATCGAATCCACAATCTCCTCCCACTGGCTGGCATGCTGGGGCATTCGGGACAGTCCATCCGCCAAGAAATTCCTTTTCCCCGGGATGTGTTTGAGGGTGAAATCAAACCTCCCGAAGTATTGGGACCAGTGTGCCTGCTTGGGCAAAAGCTTCCGCAGGGCTTTCAGCACTTCGAGGTTCTTGTGGTCAGTCCACACTTCGAATGGCTGGCTTGCCCCCTCCAACAGTTGCCTCCAGGTGGATAGGGCCCACTTGATAGCAAACGCCTCTTTCTCCCACACCACCCACCTCCTCTCTGTTTCGGTGAACTTCCGGGAGGCGTAGGTGCACGGGTGGAGGGGCCCCTCAGGTCCAGGTTGTAACAGGACTGCTCCCACCGCCATGTCAGAAGCATCCACCTGAATCACGAACCGCTGGTCCGGGTCAGGGTGGTGTAGGATGGGCTCAGCAGTGAACCTGCGCTTCAGGTCCCCAAATGCCTCTTGGCACTCCGGGGTCCACACAAGAGGCATGCTGGGTTTGGGGGGCTTCCCGCTGCCCCGAGTCTTAAGCAGGTCCATTAATGGGAGGGCGATCTGGGCGAAGTTTGGGATGAACTGCCTGTAGAAGTTCGCGAACCCCAAGAAGCTTTGGAGTTGTTTCTGGGTCTGCGGCGCTTCCCACCCCAGCACATCCTTCACTTTCGCTGGGTCCATCTCGACTCGGCTGGATATTCGATAGCCGAGATACTCCAATTGCCCTCGATGGAATTCGCACTTCGAGAGCTTGGCGTACAGCTGTGATTTTAATAGTCTCTGGAGCGCCCTGCATACTAATTTCATGTGCTTGGTCAGGGTCTCGGAATGTATCAGGATGTCGTCCAGGTAAACCAGGACGCCCTGGTAAAGTAGGTCATGCAGCACCTGGTTTATTAATTGCATGAACACCCCTGGAGCCCCTTTTAACCCAAACGGCATCACGTGGAATTGGAAACTTCCAAGCGGACAATTGAAAGCCGTCTTCCATTCATCTCCTGCGTGGATCCTGACCCTGAAGTACGTCTCTTGCAAGTCAGGTTTTGTGAATATCCTCCCCTTGGACAGGTGGGATAATAAGTCCTTCATCAAGGGGAGAGGGTAGTTGTATTCAGTACTTATGGCATTCAGCCCCTGATAGTCTACACACATTCGGAGCGAGGCGTCCTTCTTTTCCCAGAACACCGGGGCCGCCAGTGGGGACTTTGTGGGCTGGATAAAACCCCGCTCTAAATTCTTGTCCACGAACTCCTGAAGGGCGCCCATCTCCTTCCCCGACAGGGAGTACATCTTTGGCTTGGGTAACTTGGCCCCCGGCTTTAGCTCGATGGTGTAGTCACTGGGTCTGTGGGGCGGGAGTTGATCCGACTCCTCCTCGCTGAATGCTGCTGTCAAGTCTGCAGCTGAGCCAGTCTCTAGCCGTGCCACACCAGCTGAATCTGACATTATGTACTCAGCAGCAGAACAAAGATGGAAAGTAGGGCACCAGGTGATCCCTCTTATATTCTGCATCATTAAAGAAACAATTTGGTAGACCAGGATAATGTATCCACAGCTATCCTCACTTGACAAATCCCAAATATAGTGGAACTACAACTTCCAGAATTCCTAGCAAAGATTTATAGTCACAATACATGTGGATCCCCCCAGTGGAGAAGTCTTCTGTAGGGAGTCCTTTTCATCCTGCTATAGAATCATATTGTTTATAGCACACAATATTCTAAGCTATGGTTTGTTTAGTTATATTTTATTGACTGGGTTCACAAAATGGGCTGTGTCATAAACTAAAAATACAGTGAATGGGATTATTCAATATGCTAAGGCTAAAACAA